TTGGAGCGGTGTCACATGACTTGAGTACCTAAAAGTGGGGTTGCAATCCTATGAATAGATGCATAAGCCGTAAAGAGGGACTTTACCGCATTAAGCAGTATATTCAATAAAGCAATTCTTGATAGTGGTGCGATAAGAAATCTTCAATTCTATCGTCGAAGCTTCACGTATCTAAGACTCACAACTGGGCTTGGTGTCTCTTTGGCTGGCCGACTTGTAGATCCTTCCTCGAATAAATGTTACCATCATAGTGCAGCTCCCCTTAGAAACACTATCGACATCGCCACTCGGCCACACAATGCCGCCGATACGACTCCCAACCGGCCCATCGCGGTGCCTCCTCTCCTCAACCTCCTCTCCCCTCACAGCCACACACACACCGGCCTCCCTCCAAAGAATACCAGCAACCCGCGCCCTCAGCACCACACCCGCTTCCCAGCGACAAAAGCCCTCGCACCTAACCGTGCCCAAGGACCAAGTCCCCGAGTACCCCTACGGGCGCTTCCGGACCTACAAGCAAGCGAACGAGGGCCTCTTCGCAGGCTCCAAAATCCGCTTCGGCAACGTCGTCGCCGAGAAATACGGCAACAAGTCGCGCACGACCTGGCTGCCGAACCGGCACACCAAGCGCCTGTGGTCGCCGTCCCTGGGGGCCTTCGTGCGCACGCGCATGACGGCCCGCGTGCTGCGGACCATCGACCGGCTGGGCGGCATCGACGAGTATCTGCTAGGCTCCAAGGCCCAGCGGGTGAAGGACTTGGGGCCGGCGGGGTGGGCGCTGCGGTGGAAGATCATGCAGACGCCCGCTGTGCAAGAGCGCTTTGCGCGCGAGCGCGCGGCGCTGGGGTTGCCGCCTAAGGAAGTAGGTGAGATTGCGTTGCCCCAAGATTTATTGGTTGACGGATATGTGACGGCGGAGGCTGTGATGAGTGAAGTCGACGGCATGCTGGAGCGGGGGGATGAATTCGTCATCGGCGAGGTGAAGGAGGGCGAAGATATGATCGTCAAGGGGGACGCCGAGGCGATCGAGGAGGCGAGGGAGGCTGCTAAGGATATGGACAGTTTCATGGAAGAGAAATCGAGGGCGGATGTGAAGACGCCTGGGCCGTGAACTACGTAGCTTCCAAGCTTTACAAACTACGTTATACCAACCCTGCATGAAGAGATGAGGGAGTCTCTAAGTGAGGGAGGGAACAGCATGTGGCATTGTACCATTTAAATCGATTTGTACAAAATGCGTCGCGATGCGAATCTATATGCCGCAAAATACAAACAATGTATCATATCATTTAACTTTTATGATGCCATGATCCCTCGCGCCAATTCCGAACCTCGTAAATCTATGAATGAATTCATCATCCATCTCTACATCACGTGTATCCCGTCTTAGATATACTCCATCTTAGAAACGTAGATCCCATCCGATCTGAGGTCCTAACTTAGGGAGTTCGTCAGCGACGCTCTGAACGTCCTTGTCTCCCCGACCGCTGAGGCAGATGACCACATCCTCGTCCTTCTTCATCGTCTTGGCCAGCTCGATGGCTCCATAGATACCGTGCGCTGACTCAAGTGCGGGGATGATACCCTCCATCTGGCTCATGAGTCGGAAGCCGATGAAGGCTTCAGCGTCTGTTGCCGCGACGAACTTGGCTCTTTCTGAGTCCTTCCAGTTCGAAAGTTCGGGGCCAACACCTGGGTAGTCGAGTCCAGCCGAGACCGAGTGCGTGTCGGAAATCTGCCCGTGCTCGTTCTGCAACACGTACGTCCTTACACCGTGCAGAACACCCTTGGTACCCCCCGTTAATGTGGCTGAGTGCCGCGAGGTGTTGACTCCGTCGCCACCGGCCTCAACACCTAATAGCTTGACGCTGGGATCTTTAGAAAAGGGGTAGAACATGCCGACGGCATTGCTACCCCCACCAACACAGGCCACAACGGCATCAGGAAGCTTGCCCCGCTTCTGTAGCATTTGTGCCTTCGTCTCGTCGCCGATGACCGACTGGAATGTTCTCACAATAGTAGGGAAGGGATGAGGACCAATGGCAGATCCGATGATATAGTGAGTATCCTCTAGGTGGACAACCCAGTAGCGAAGCGCTTCATTGACGGCATCTCGCAGGGTCTTGCTACCAGCCTCGACCGCGATCACTTTAGCACCGAGCAGCCGCATGCGGAAGACGTTCAATGCTTGACGTCTGACATCTTCCTATTACAGATTATGAGTCATTGAGATATACTAGCTCGGAGAGGGGACTGGACTTACGGCACCCATGAAAACGGTGCATTCCATGCCGAACTTGGCACAGACCGTGGCCGTTGCTACACCGTGTTGACCAGCACCAGTTTCGGCGATGATCTTGGTTTTACCCAGTCGTCTCGCTAGGAGAAGCTGTCCTAACGCGTTGTTGATCTTGTGAGATCCAGTATGGTTTAGATCTTCTCGCTTTAGCCAGATGTTGGCGCCGCCAGCATATTCGGTCAGGCGTTCGGCCAGATGTAGCTGGCCCGGCCGTCCCATCCAAGGGTAGTAGGATCTGTACTCCTCCCAGAACTTAGGGTCATCTTTGATCTCGTTGAACCCCTCCTCCAACTGAGATAAGCAGTCCATGAGGGACTCCGGGACGTACTGGCCGCCGAACTCGCCAAACCGCTCGGGGATCTTGCCATGGAGCGCGGCAAGCTGAGCAACCAAAGCAGCATCGTCGTGTTCGGAAATCACGCCATTGACCGTCACATCCTCACCGCTGGGCTCCTTGGCAACGCTGATGGCCTCGACTACGCCAACCTCCCGTGTCGTCTTCTGTGAGTCTCGTCCGCTCACATAGGCGCAATACTCCTCAACGGCCTTGGCGCCTTGACCAGGGCCAGCCTTCTGGAGAGTTGTAACAATCTGAGAACCGATGACTACACCGTCGGCGATAGCAGCTACGGATTGGAAGTGTTCGGGTGTAGATACGCCAAATCCGACGGCGGCCGGCTTGTCGCCACTATACTTCTTGACTCGCTCGAGAAGGTTCGGTAGGTTGGCATTGAGGGTACCCAATGCGCCAGTCACGCCCATGCGGGAGACAACATAGATGAAAGAATCGGCGAGAGCGCATAGAATTTTCATACGGGTGTCAGACGTTGCGGGCGCGATTAAAGGGACGTACGACAGTTGCCCTCTGCTGCAAAGTTTTCGGAAGGAGACAGCCTCCTCGGGAGGCAGGTCGCAGACGATGAAGCCATTAACGCCAGCAGACTTGCAGTCTCGAAGTAGATTATCCTCGCCATAGCTTAGCAATGGATTATAGTAGCCCATAAGCAGAACCGGGGCGGTGAGTCCTCTCGATCGTGCCTCACGGACCATCCCCAACGTAGATCCGATTGTGACGCCATTCTCGAGTGCAACGGTATTAGAGGTCTGGATAGTCGGGCCGTCCGCGATTGGGTCTGTGAAGGGTACGCCGAGTTCGATAACATCTAAACTTTGTTAATTGCTGCTACCAAAATTCAAATTGAGTCTGTCTATTCGCCACAACGTACCAGCACCACCTTTTTGCATCCCAACCAAGACATCAGGTGTATCCTCAGGTTTAGGGTAACCGGCAGTGACATAGGTTACCAGGGCAGCCTATATTTTGGGATATTTAGTTAGTCAATCAGGTTTACATATCCAATTGGTGGCAAGACGAAGTTATAATGATACGATCGTATGTACACGCAACAATATAAGAAGAGAATCATACCCGGTTCTCTGCCTTGCAGCGCTTAAATGTCTGTTTGAGTGCCTCCATGATGTTCGAAATGAGTCAATTGGTATAATACACAAATGAGAGACGAGAAGTACTGAGAGAAGGGAAAGATAAGCCCTTTAAAGGGAAAGTTGAGAGGAGGCTGAATGAAGTCTGAGTCAACGAGAAGTTCGATTTGACAGATGTACCGAGTATTTTACTTTATTATGTGGAAGCCACCGGTAAGTACATTATCCCAGTAGCTATTTGATTTTCCCAAAGCGATAACCGGAGGGGGGACTCATTCTTCCCTGCTACCCCACCATCCCGCCTGTACGTCGCTTTTGTAATATGTATAACATGCCTGTCACATCCCTGCTCGCCGTCTCCCGAGCGGGTGGGCGGACCCCTAGCAGAGTTACAGAGGTATGCAAGGGACCAACCAAATCGATTGAAACATAACGCCACTTCTCTATTCTCAATTGATCCAAAGTCTAAATGCATAGATTTTCATTGGCAGCGGGTAAGCCAAATACAGTTATCCGTTGATATTTCTAAATGAAGTATATATATCTTCATATATCGTACGAGTAAGCAGACAACAATTTCATACAGCTATACAAAATCACAACAGGGTAGAGATAGAATAAAGCCAGAGTCCTAATCGAACTGGTTCTGAATCAGACGCTACATGTACTTCTAAAGTGTTTATCTGAGAGCTGAAACCCCCACGTTAAGCACATATGTAAGTACTTAGATTAATAGCAGTCATAAGAGTAGCTTACAATTACAACTTTCAATCAATATTTAGTAAACGAATTTATAAGTTTATTCATACGTTTCTCTATTTCGTTGATTGTAACTCTTTACGGAAAAAGAGAGACGTCATCGGACATCTACATTAGTAACCCTACTTTAAACCCGATCCCGTCCACACACAGGGGGGCAATCCTCAACCAGGACTAAACCCACAAGCCGGAACAGCCAAAAAAGGAACCAAAAACAAAAATAAACGTACAACACCGGGGATTCGCCGGTCGTCACCGACCCGACTACTAGTCCGGCTGTACCCAGCTTGTCTAAGAGAGAGCGGACGGGATCCCGAATTTTCTAGGTCATATGGTCGTACGTGATAGTTCTGGTAGCTATTATGGTATATATGCGTTGCCTCTGTGTGCGAAACGGGACTTGCCTTTCCATATCTCCGCGGTACCGGGCCTAGACCGTGCTCGCTTGCTTGAGCATGATAGGACTAATTTGGAGCCTGGAGTATACCAACAAGTAATCGGGTTCATGGCCTAATGGTAAGGCGTCAGATTTCGGTTCCGTCTCTATGATTCACCATCCTCTGAAGATTGCAGGTTCGATCCCTGCTGAGCTCGCATTTCCTTTTTGATTACTTTTTAGACGTCTATATCTCTTGCTCTTGCTGCATTTGTACTGATCATGTAAAGTAATATGTTAGGCATTGATCATTAGCTCATCATATAAGTAAGCGTTCACAGATAGCAGACCCATGACTCTATCACCACGTTGGTCGCCAGCAACACTCAGATTCACAACCAATTAATGAGTAACTTAAACACGGGGGAATTGCATATCGATACTATACAAGATATCTATATGTCGAGGTTCTGAAGACCTAAAAAACGGTTCTTGACGATATAGACTGAAGCCGTTTTGACTTATATTAATACTTGCCCTATGAAAAATTCTATCAGGTAGATCTGCATGCAGTATGCGAGGCGATAAGCCAATCAGAAGCGACTCTTTAAGAGAATAAGGAAGTTTTAAAGAGGTACATGCCGAGGTAAACCCGTGGACCTGCGGACCGTTTGTTTAGTTAGTTCGGGGAATACCCGGAACTCTATTCCCGAATCGCCCCAATCCCCAATTGCCACTTCGGATTCCACGACCTCAAATATTCTTCATTGACGGTCCTAGGCACCTACCTATATTATCAAGAACGAGAGTTTGAAACCATCCCGAATCGATACAGTAGTAGGATAGGCCATACATCGTCGCAATGGCATCCCGTCTAACGCGCCTCACCCGGCTCACTCGACCCTTCGCAACACTCCCATCATCCCTCCAAACCCACCACCCAATCCGCTACGCCTCATCCTCCAAACCCACACCCCCCAACCCCTTCGAATCCATGCCCTCTCCCCTGCGTCTCCCCCCGGACCAACAAGCCGAATTCGAGCGCCTCCAGCGCACAGCCAACACGCAGGAGGGCTTCAACCCGACCTCCACCCCGGACTTCAGCTCCCCGGCAACAGTCGGCTCCTCCTCCTCCGCGGTCGAAGGGCGTACGGCCGCGACGCCGGCGATTGAGAATGAGTCCGGCTCGGTACCGCTCCGAAAGGGCGCGCCGCCCGAGTTCGAGGGCGAGGTCAATCCGAAGACGGGTGAGGTCGGCGGGCCGAAGAACGAACCGCTGCGCTGGGGACCCGGGGGCGATTACAGCTTTAACGGACGGGTTACGGATTTCTGAAGACTCGGTTCGCAGGTCAATTGCCCCTTGCTAGGGTACATAAGGGGATATGAACTTGCAAGAAGAGGCATACCTCGTGGTGTATAAGGACCAAGACCCACGAGTTGGCAGGAATGAGGTTCAAAGAGTCGAGTTGCCGCATCCCACAAGCCAGATAATCCATCACTGGCGAACGGTAGGGTACCTAGCGACAAGCCAACCCCCCTATCGGTAACCTTCCGGTACCGCATACCTCACATACTGCTCAATTCGGTCATATTTAAGTTGACGGCTCAGCCAACCATGGCTACAGTTCACAAAGCAAGCGGGTTCATCTTAGTAGAACGCTCACTCTAGCTCTTACCGCGAGCTATCGGGCCGTGGTTTCGGCGAGAGGACGGCTTGAGCCGCTCGACTAGCACCTTGTCGTATACTTGAGACAAGTGCGGTTTCGGCCTTAGCAAGATCGTTTTCTCAGAGCGGTGATCTCAATCCTTCCTTTGGAGAGCTGAGGCGGAGCCGGGATGTCCACCTGTTTATGGCCGGGGAACGAACATACTTTGCGTAGTGTATATAATATGGAATCGGAAGAAGCACATAACGCCGTCAAACAGAAGACGTCCAAGGCTCAAGCTACTCAATATTGATGCATACAGCGTGCTCTAAGCCATACTATGTCACAGTATCTCGATACCCAAGGCGTGTGCGTAGCATTAGATGAATATATTCCACAGCATCGATCACCTATATCTAGCTCAGAACTCCGCGCTATGCCATGAAGGTCAATAATAGAAAAGCAACAAACAGGAGCCACGTGAGTAGGTATCTTGTGAGAAAAACCCATAACGCAAGTGTAAGGGGAAGGAAGTGAAAAGGAGAAAAAGCAATGCTGCGTCATATCCCTCTCTACTATACATAGTCCCCACGGACTCTTAGCTTATAATGTCTCCCACATAATATTCGATTTGACAACCGGTGTACCTGTTGCCTCCCACTATTTTGATATGAAGCAACCTTAGCCCCTGAGCACTACGCAGAAGCAGCCGTAGGTTCGGCTGTTCCACGCTTCTCCTTCTCCGCTCCTTCTTCGACCGCCGCAGCAGTTTTTGCGGAATGGCTCTCCACCGAGCCACTCTTCTCCCTGGCACCATCATCCAATTCCGGACTCGCATTGGTATCCGCACTGGGTCTGTCTTTGTCCCGGCTTATCTCAGACGTAGCAGCACCATTCGAAGTAACTGCAGGGCGGTTCTCCTTATTCCCCTCGCCGCCATCCGGGGGTTTACTAGCACTAGCATCTCTCGATGAGACCATCTTAGACATGATCTCCTTCTCGCCGATATCCACAACCTGACTGCGGTTGACCTCGCTCATGGCTTTCCGGATTCGCTCCCTGCGAGCCTTGCCTCGAAGTCTACTTTGTGGCGCGGCGCCGTCGACCCACCGCACGCCGAGCACCATAAAACTAATCCCGTCGTGGATGCTCTTGCGTCCGTTATAAGTGCCGCCGAACTCGCGGCTCTGGATCCCAAAGCGCGTAGAGCTACTATATTTCTCGAGCGCGGGGAGAATTAGAAGCGTCACGTGCAGGTCTCGGTCCGCGGGGACCTGGACGGGGCCCGAGGCGGGTGGGGAGTTAAGTACCTCGAGCGGTTGCTCGGCGGTAGCTGCTGCTGCGCGCTGCTTCTTCGTTGTAGGGGCAGGCTTGTATAGCTCCAGCAAATCAACATCCACATCCTCGCCCCATTCCCCGCGGATCCAGCCTCCGTGGATACATGCAGCAACGACGTCGGAGTCGTCAGTATACACGTCCGTGCCCCAGACGGCACGTCGTGCCGTGATCTCCTCGCGCGCAGACGGGCTGAGGTGCACACGCGGGATCTTCACGGTCAGCGTCGAATTCTCGTTGCCCTTAATCATATCCAGGGGTAGTGGGCGCGGGTTCGACGCGTAGCCGAATTTCGAATGGGACGACTCGAGTTTGGTGGGCTTGAGAACCACCTGGTATACAACATCACCGAGGTGTTTCCGGGGGCGATCTACGACGCTGTCCAGGACCGCTTGAGACGAGATCTTGTGTTTCGGCTTCGGAATGATAGTCGAACCGGGCGCTGCTGGTTTCGAAGACGTAGGAGCCGGGACCGACCTGGGGGGTTGATGGTGGTGAGTGAAAGGTGTGAAGTCTTTGTTTGTTGGAGATGGTATCGGCGTGCCGGTTTTCAAGTTTTTGAGTTGCCCGTTAGCCGTTTGGAGAGGAGAGGTGGTCCTCTCCGGGCCGTGATGATGGTGATGATGGTGACTAGAAAAATATTACAATGAATATCGACCGTAACAGAATATAAATCGTAATTGCTACTTACTGGTGATGGTGGTGATGAGCATGAGTTTTAGGACGCTTAGCCCGGCCAACCGGTGTAACCCTGCCAGTACTATCTTCGTCGCCCTTGCTGTCTTCGTCTTTGGCCTTCCTTCGCTTTCCTCTACCCGCCTTAACGGGAGCTTCAGCAACCAACTCGTGACCGGGGTTGTCCTCATCACGTCGCGCAGGGCCCGCGCCAGAGAACTGGGGTTGTATGCCGGATGGCACTGGGCTAGAGACACCGAGACCGCGTACACCGCTTCCTATGCCGTGGAAAATACGGCCGAACTCACCCTTGATCAAAGGCTCACCTGCGGGACCCTGCAACTGAGGTTGCGCACCCTGGACCGCCTGCGGTAGCGGAGACACACGTCCTTTACGGTTGATCTCCTGAACACCCAGTAAAATCCTCTGATGCCCAGCAGGAGTTGAACCATCGTCGATAGCACGTGGCCGACCTGGCTCGAACGGCGCCGGGACAGGCCCGTACGCAACCGAAGGGGGAGGAGGGCCTTCCTCAAGCCGACCTCGATGGACTACCGCCGCCGGCGGTTGCTGTTGAGGATGTGCCTGAACGAACCGGGGCCTGTCAGGAGACTCGAAGGGATTCGCTGCAGTTGGCGGGCCTGGCTGGCTTACAGGCATTACCTGGGGAGGGGGACCGGTCGCCGGAAAACGTTCATGGGGAGGAGGCTGCGCGTAGGCAGGATGTGTTCCATAGGGAGTAGCCGTAGTAGAGGGGAATTCATTGGGTCGCGGACCGGGATAGGGTTGACCGTAAGCATCCCTCGGTGGTGGCGGTTGATCATAGCCTGGTCGTTGCCAGGCCGCTGGGTCTCGGGGGTCAGGTCTCCCGTAAGGCGGCTGTCGCGAAAGTCCTTGAGGACCGAGATCTGCGGGATGCTGAGCGTGAGGACGACTTGGGTCCGATGTAGTTCTTTCTCTCCTAGCCCTCTCGCGCATTTCAACCTCTCTTTCTCTATCCCTTTCTCTTTCTCTCTCTCGTTCCCTCTCTATCTCGCGCCCTCTCTCCCTTTCCCTCTCAATACGTTCTCTTTCGATCAAAGCACGTTGCTCTTCGTAGTGTATTCTGTCCCTCTCCCTTCGCTCCCGTTCTCGGTATTCCGCTTCTCTTTCCCTGTGTACTTCCCGCTCCCTCATTTCCCGATCTGAAACGAAACGACGTTGTTCTTCGTAGACTACGGCTCGAGGTGGTCGCTCCTGATTATACTCTACAGGGCCAGAAGGTCGCCCCTCTTCCCGTCTCAGATATACGGGTTCTCCGGGCGGTGGTCCTCTTGCTACGTCTACAGGTCTCGGAGGTATTCCAGGGTAGGACCTTGGCTGGCTACTCGGTCTGGGAGGTACATTAGCAGCAGAGATCCGCCCCGGCTGTTCTCTCCTTTCTTCAGTCGGTGGCATCGGTGGGCCACGCGACGGGTACGCCTGCGGCGTGTTATATCGGGATAATTCAGGAGTCCCATACATGCCCTGCGGTGGCGACCCAGCCGCGCTACCCCTATGATCCCTCGCGTCAAATGGCCTGC